TGCAACCCGATTATGACGAGCACATCTGGCATCATGCGTAATCCAGCAGGATTGTGAAATATGCACCAAACTCTCCGGTTGGCCACAGTTTCCACGACATAAGATCGTCTGGCCACCATGACCATGCCGAGCGCTTCTGACTCTCGCCCTAAGCAGGTTGCGTCGGAGCTGGATACCGCGGATAAATAACCGTGGAAACACTCGTTCTGGGAATACGAGCCATCGATTTGAGAGAGGCGAAGTGACCAACTCTCGTAAACCGCGACCGTCAACGCTGTTGTGCAGACTCTCGCCCCAAGCAGCCACCAGCTCCTCCTTGGTGTTTACGCATGCACTATGGACTCGGATCGGAAGGCTGAGATCCCGAACAATTTTGCCAAATGCGGAAACGTTGACCACATTGCGTAGTACTCGGCACTGAGTAGAAAGGAGCTTTTCCATGCGCGTTTTCCCCTGCATCGGGATTGTTGCACTCAGACTTGGGATACCAAGTCCCCCATGTTGTTTACCGGCGTGGATGTAGCTGATCGGGGTGTCCTTCGGTAGACGTAGCCAGCCAAAAACCCTTAGACAGTCCACCGATGCTTTCACCCAATCTTACTTCTAATGTGGACTTCTAGTCGACTTTCCATGGAGCCGAAAAAAACCTTCGTTAAGTTTTCAGCAACCTATCTGACTCACACGTTAAACAAGTTTAACAAAGCAATCCAGTGCGAACCGTTAAAATCTAAGTCTTCAGCATAGATAGGTCATACTTAGGGTGATGCAGCTGTAGGTACACACGGGCTAGAATTTCAGCATCATTCTACGTTGACGATATTGATCACATGAGGGTGATAATCCCTCCTGTATGGTTTGTCTGTGTCAGCTAAATCTATCGGCCCGCATTTTGCGTACATGATTGCTGTGTACCGGTTAGGACAGTCATGTTCTATCGAACCGATCAAGTGTATGAAACAAGAAGCTAACCAGCATTGATTTGTGCCTTAGCCCAATCTCACCCCCATTTTTCGTCCGACGTGTGATATGACTCAAGTTCTTGTACCATGTCACACGCAAGCAATCTTGTTGATGACTACCCCGTGCCATTGTCGCGTCTTCAAACTCCAAGTGATAGTTTGGTGATATGATGTTCGGTGAAACCCGGCTCGCACACGAATTCGGGAGGTTACGGTGATGCAAAGTATAGGTAACAGGTCGGAGCAGGGTTTGTTCCCTGTATTCAGGAGATTTGGCTTCAAAGTCAGTCAAATGCGAACTTCCAAGATACGTTTCTTCATCCCCTTATGGCTTTGTCTCCCATCTCGTTCAGTTCTTTACTCAGTCAGCCTGAAGGCCTTCAGACTCAGGGGGAACTACTCAAGTCGGTTCCGATTTGAGCTTGAGCCTCTCTTCCGTCATTAGCTAAATTGTGGGTGGAATCCAGTTTTCAACAGTCATCCGAATGCGTCCACCTCGTACAGATGATTGCTGTACGACTGACCCCATTACTCCAAATTTTGCATAGCACTTGCTTGAGTCCAAGGATACGAGGGACAATGACAGGCACAAAATGCCTCAAACCGAGGTCCGGTAGAAATTTCGGTGTGCTCATAGTGGACGTGGCCCCGAAATCCCTCCTTGCTGTCAAATGGCTCGACCTGCTCCAACATATCGAATACGTTGTCAGCAGTGAACTGACAGGATCGGCTCTATGATGTAGAACCTTGCTGACAGGCCTACTCAAGCGTCTCACAAACGGTACTTGAGTGTTCCCATAGTCTCGCGTAAACAAATTTTATGGTGTGCACTCATGTCTGCGTTGGCCTTGTCGTAAAAGGCCTTCTTTGGTGTAGTACATTACAGTGCCCGCTCCTATGAGAAAAATCATTCAGAAGGACCCAAACTTCGTCGTGTTAGTTGCTTGGACCCTTGGTCCAAAACGAAGCTAAAATCAATCATGGCTGTGAAAAATTGTTGTTTGACTATATACAGGCTATTCTTTGGCTTTTATAAAATACATGACCACTACCTTTTACTCCAATTTGTCCCTGATACGTTCTCCGTCACCTGACAATGGCTGACGATTAATGCACTCGGGATCTGTAGATGATTCCGTCCTGCTTACTGAGCTACACAACCTTTATCTTTTCAACTAAAGGGAAGTAGTTCCATAGAGGAGCCATCAGTGAAATCATTCTACTGTGATTGCACAGCCTGAACAACTGGTGAGACCTGATGACATCCACCGATTACGAACCACTTCAGTCTCTTGATTTGGTTTGAGTAAATAGGACTCGGTGTACTTAGCAGGTCGCGTCCACAGATTAGTTCGTCCGCCAGTCGCTCCTTGGTTTTGTTACGCTGTCGAATTAATCACTATCGAATTTCGCTAACGCAGTGTGCTCATGAAACCCTCGAATTTCAAAATCATGTTCTTCGAGGCGTCTCTCAGATTGTGGTTACTTATGTGGATGGGACTATGATTCAGCACGTGAAAAAAGGCAATTGACGTGACCTTTTTCGGGGTATTGCCCTCTGGGGTTTTCTCCTGAAGACGAAGTGCTGTACAGTAATCGTCACCATCAGGAGCGGCCCTCATGGGAAGAGAATTACGCGATCTCTCCTGTTTCTCTCGCGAGGATATCCAAATAAGTCCCGGTTAAACGACAACGCTTCCGTGGACCCTCTGTGGGACTGAGACGTGTTGCCCTTGTTCCAGAATAGTTGCCACTACCGAGGGACGTGCATTTGATTCGTCCATCCTAAGGACGTACCGTACGCTGGGTCGTCGCCAATAGAAAATGCTATTGTCAACTCCTTGGAGGTCGGTAAGCTTTTCTTTGGAGTGGAGGTTGCTACAGTGCAGGAGACATATGGGACAATATGATTCCAGAGTATTAGACTGCCATCGATCTGAGAGATCAAAATCTTGTATATTGTGGTCAGCTCGGGTCAACGTAGAAATCTGACCCTATGTTGGGTCAGTATTGCTTAACTTCTACTTCCCCTGAACAAGCTGTATGAATTGCATATAGCGACTGCTCGATTATTGTCGGACTGTTCCATGTGACTAAGCAGGGACATATCGTCCAGAGGTTTTTTGCGCTTACATTCTTTTTTTGGTATTTCTTCAGATTTTCGTTTGTAAACGGCCACATTTGGATGAATTCCTACGTGAGATTGGCCCGCTATTCGAATGTGTCATGTTCACCGCCAGTCTAAGAAAAGTGAGTCATTGTTTTAGATGGGCAGTTTGGTTTTGCTTCCACAATGCAGTAGTTAATTTGGGTGTACATATGCATTTCCGTGGGCCTGTATGTTCAGAACAGTAGCCGGACCGTAATGGTCTGCGCTTGTTCGGGTTTGTAGCCATCGTCATGGGATTCAGCAAGGAGAGCGTTGTTGAAGATGAGCCTCCAAATAGTCCGCTCCTTACCTGAAGTTCATACTCTTGAAAAGCTTAATACCTCTGGGGTTAAGCTACACAGTGTACCGTTGCATATTGGTGGGGAACAGATATCCCATTAATTGTGTTTGTATTCAGCTCTCGACATATCCTCACGCAATTGAATACAGGACGTAATTAGCTTGCATGCAAAAACGCCCATTCAACGCAGCCGACTGAACGCGGAGAGAGTCTTCGGCCATTGATACGCTAATCGTTTGATGACGAGACACGACTGCGTTGCCGCGGGTCACCACTCCTGTCTCAGCCTCTTTACCACCGATACCTTTGATGCTTTGGGCTTGCACTACTCAAGAATATTTGCTAGCACTCCTTGAACCCCCGAACGATGGTCTCATTGTTATCCACGAAGACAGCTGCGGTCTTTATCAGGTGCCATCAACGTTGACACGTGTTGTATCTTGCGCTGGCCGAGCTATTGGGTTACGCCTGCACTGAGCCTGCCAGACTACGCGATAGGGAGGAGACAGAGAACTGGGGACACGGCTGTATTGCCAGGACAAAACATACAGAGCGTCTGCGTAAATATATAGGATGACTAATTGGCCAAATATGGTCGTTCACTTGTTCGCCCCGTACAGCCAATGGTGGTGTTCCGGTCGTGAACATTCTCAGGCCCACTATACTGGTCGTGTGTTGCTAAGCCGTGTTTCGTGGGGGCCACCAACTCACCTACTTTCCGGACGTGTCGAACCGATGGTGACCTTGGGGATGCGTCACTCTGTATATGTGCTTTTTCTTCTGTCTGGGCGCGCCCTGACAACACGAAAGAACTTGGGTTCACTGTATATGTCTTTTTCTTCTGTCTGGGCGCGCCCTGACAACACGAAAGAACTTGGGTTCATGTGGCCTGCGGATTCCGCAGCTGAAACATCACTAGGTTGCGGTGTGTATATAGATCTTGCAGTCGACTGTCACCCCTGAACATCACCGATACGAGCCACGGCTGAAGCCGATTCCCCCTATATCACGGTAGTTCTTAATGTGTACATAGCTAAGGATGCCTAGTTGGACAGTGTCTCCTTGAACGTACGATGGGAATATGATTGTCTGACTACTGTCATCCCCACAGAAGGATAGGCATGGGATGTCTCCGACGGTTGACTCTAGGTCACTGAGAGTTCTTTTCAAAGTCGAGCCATCTAATCCATGCCTCCTGAATGTCCCAATTTCACATAGTATTCACAAAGATGACTTTGTGGTTGGACCAGTTATCTGGTGTGCTTTCAAACTGAATCGGACATACTGTGACCCCTCTCTCACATGGACCGGTACACGTCACAAGCGAGCTACAGCCGCCACCTTCACTGTGACCACCTAAAGAAAACTAGAAAAAGTGGCCTCTTTTGAGGACCAGCTATCGATGGTCTCTCCTATGAATATTCTTCCTCGGAAGGGGAGAGTTGGTTCTTGTATGTATATCTTAGTCACTTGAGGATGTACCCATTGGATCCTTACGACATGTAAACGTAACGGTGTGATTATACTCAGAATTGGAGGGGTATGACAGAAATTTCCACACTCTGTTTTGTCTTCTTCCCACGGCTTTCTTCTATACCCCTGTGAAATATCAGTGTCTGTGTGTGTATTTCAAACTAGATAAACGTACCTCGATTTCGATTTTCCTTTCGGACTAAACACGCCTAAAATTTCAGGAAGGCTATTCCCCAATAGTAGTTGCTGGTGCCGTGAAAGACCTTTCCGCATAGTATCTTGCTAGACGGGGCTTTAATGTATGAACGATATACCCTTGCCTGTCTGCTGTGTTCCATCTTTCTCAATACGATTTAAAATCGTTTGTGGGTGTGTGTTGAGCCACGTGATGCCATCCAGCGACACTTAAATATTACGAATGAATACCCGGTTTAGTTTAGTCACGTGTTCAGTGCAACAACCCTTTTCTGTCTACATGCACCGCTATGGTGTGTGCTCGTCGTAATGTGCACATGTCGTAGCAGTGAGACACTATATGCATACTCCCCTAAATAGTACTACTTCATAACTGTTTCAATCTCTCGAATTTCTTTTATCAAAGTAGATGGGAAAACCTTTCCATGATACCACCTCCAGACAAAAGTCAGTCAACCATGCAATAGGCGCCCTGTTTGAGTACGATTAACCGTTTTGTTCGCACTGAACTGCGCATTTTCCTCCCCGTTATCTGTGCCTTTCAAGGGTTTTATTTGCATTTTAACTGTAGGCTAATCTTGTTCTCTCCATCAGCTCCCCATAACGAAGCCGGTGCTGTTTCTGCAGAATGTAGCTATCGAGTTGTCGTCTTAACTGATGCACAACAATCCGCCTTCAGACGTCCAACTCAGTTCATGTTCCCCGTATGACAAACACGTATATGCAGCATTTTGGTTTCGCGTTCTGTTAGGACTGCGATATTCCACGCTCTGCACGTGCGGTCACCGATGTGCTTGGATTTGATTTGAGGTCGGCGATCGACATTGCGTTTCAGGCAGTAATATAGTTAGTGTGAAGTGATGAAGTATGACAGCAGTACCAAGCAGAGCGATTGCAAACGCTTCCGTTTATGACTGAAGTTGGCAAGCCGAGGGACTTCGTGAGGACTTCGGTTCACTAAAGTGCGACTTTTATAATCTTGAGTGGGTACCCGAGTTCACATAATACAAATAAGAAACAGATTTTGCTGGGTGGATTCGAACTTCTCGCTTATCGAACGACTGCTCTATCAAATGAACTATCACAGACGCTGTCCCACGCTGCACACATGTGCTCGAGTTCCACACTGATTTACCACACTTTTTCCAATGTTTTTAACTACCGGTTTCTGTCGGCGCCTTCAGTGGACTCCTTGTATGACTTCTACTGTGAGTCAGACAGTGACCCAACGGCATTGATTTGAATCAACATCGAAGAGACTGGGATTTGTATGATGTTAAATGGAATTCCTAGGGCACAATACAAGCGAAACGACGGATGCCCTTGTACGGGGCCGGAATCCGCAAGTACCTCCCCATGAGTAGCGGGCGCAGTCGCAGTCCAACGACTATGTGCTCAATAAACAACCTCCGCAAAATTTCAAGCTCTCATGACCATCCGGGCGTAAATCTCAGGAGCGATCTGCTGTCATTACTGTTCGACATCATCCATTTTTCTCAAGATGTCCATTAGCTGCGGTTTTGTGGAAACCAAGCTGCTTCGTGTTCCTATGACACTGTTATTGGGCTCAACTCTGAACCGGGCTTACAGAAGGGAGCACGATCTTTTGATGTAAGATCTACCCATCCATGTTTCAACACAAGGTGTATGGTGCTTATAACTGAGGACTGAAATTATCCGACGATTTTTATTAACGACTGTTTCCGTTTTGCTGGGAAATGGGGTAAAAAAAAACCTTCGAGGTGAATAAAAAAGGTGAATCAATGGGAACTATCTCTCGAGTCGACCCCATCAAGATGAAAGGTCTCATCATAGCCCAGTGTAACGTCGGCTTAAACGGACTGGGCTGGTCACCTTTTAGTTTTATGGCTGCTTAAAACGCATGGGTGTACCAGTGATCTGAAATATAAAAGCTCCCGAAAAGTGGCTCTTTGTAAATGGGTACGGTCTATTCTTAAACCCGTTAGAAGGACAAGTATGTCCATGCATCTGGCGCGTGGAAACAGACTAATTTTTATTAGGTTGCAGCGCGAAACGGTTAACTGAACCATGGTGAACCCAGACCTTAAGATAAGCCAAAGCAGGTACTTGTCTCCCTGGAAAGCCTGTTCTTTCGTATCAAAATCACCCTCAAACAATGACCACTTTTGTGTCTCTTTGGGTTGATCGCTATGAGGGGGATGTTCTCTTCGTGTTTTTCCGAACAGGATTCCAGTCACTGCGCCACAGTAGTTCACAACTAGTTGTCCTCGTGAACACGTTGTACAATCCCTTCCTTAAAGATGTCATCTGAAGATGTTGACCAGTGATGCTGTATCCTGTCCTGGTGAAGGAGTAACATGAAATCCAATACATCCTATTTAACTTGCAGGAAATTTAATAATACTCTGTGCGATACATTCCTTTCTTGAAATACCCTGCAGTTCACACAATGTCACATCTCGTCCACCATTTTAATCCCATGAGAACCGAATATTCTGTCTGTGTGTGAAAAGCGTTACACATATTAATGCAACCGTATTAACCGCTGTGGTGGAAGCCGGTTGGCGTATGGAAGTAAGGATCCGACCACCCTGGACGGTCATAGGACACCCAGTGAATAGGATACAGACTGATCGGACACCATTCATAAGTATGCGGCCCGTGTAAAACGATTGTTTCATTGACCTAGCTTATGCAACACCTTTTGAATTCGGAATGGGCGCTCTCCGAGAAAGCATATGTAACCAGGTGCGCGTCAAACGCTCGGAATCTTTCATTTTTCTACTCATTTCGGACGGATTTCAACCATAGAATGCCTGAAAGTTGATCCCTGGTTCGGCTCGCAATCAAGGGACCAAACAAAAGTGTTTTTTTCATGAACGAGTCTTTGTACGCAAGTTCGTAGACTTACAGTTTGAGAGAAATCTACAAGAAAGACCGCGAAACATGCGGATTGGCCTGGGTAGGATGGTCTGAGATCGCCCAGGGAGAAAACTTAGCTTTTGTGTCAAAAGCGAAACGTTGCCCAGCAATAAATCTACCGATTGTAACCAAACTTTTTCGAAAACAGCTTACTTTTGGGTCATGTAAAACCCCGTTGACGTCATCCGCTTTTCCTATTGGTGGTTGCGGTCTTATAATACATGTGGGGTTTGGTAACCTTGGCATGTTCGCCTGAATGAATGAGTGCACCTCAACACAAGCGAAGGAAACCACCGAAGTGGTAACACATTTCTCTGAGGTTGATGATCATAACGGCACAGTATGTGTGAATCCAAAAGGTCAATCTCACTTCCAGTGTGAAAGTATGGTGGTTCAAGTTACTATCCTCCTTAACTCACCAACGAAGGGTCAACGGAGATGGTTTGCACCAATTTAGTGCTGCATTGTTGGGGTTAAACGGTGATCTGAAGATCATCATCAAAAACAGTAACATCAGTGTTGGCACTGATGCTTCACCGCCGTACGGTGTCATGGTTGTACGAGGGCTGGGATACTACCAAGGCGCTCACACCTAGACAGGAGGACGATTACGGTCCTCAACCAAAGCCTCTGGCTGAAAAGCCTAACCGCAAGGCAGCGGTTTTGGGCTGGAAATGCAAGTACATTAACATTTTTACGGAATATGTCGCCATACATGTTCCAACTCCCAACCTGGAGGGCCAGACCTCTACCCATGGACCAACCTGGTATGAGGAACTCTGTGGATGTCACGCGGACACCCCCCAGTATAGTTCAGTGGGTCGACGAGGTACACAAACCGTCACACCACGGTAAAGTGCAGTTTTTTCACGACGGTTTGAAGATGCAGTCACCCTATATTTTGTTGGTGGTAGTCGGTCAAACAATAGTGGCTCGGCTTCTTGGATGTTACATGTGTAACACCTGCATCTGACTGAGGCTACAAAACTGTTGTGAGTTCTCTCTCCCGAGTGAACGATTTTCACTGCTGTGATTGGCCAACACTAGACCATTCTCCTCTACAATCATTGAGTTGTAATGTCAGATGGGTAGTACTGAAACTATCGAATGGTTTTCAGATGAAGCAATGTAGGCGAACGACTCATAGGTTAGCTTGTTTTGAGCCATATATTTCCCATGCAAAAGGACTATCGGTACCGATCCGAAGCAACAGAACATGAAACCTTTAACCAGCGAAAGCATGCACTTGAGTAAGCATCATCTCCCTTCCAGTAAAATACGACCAGTTCACGATTCGCGATACCGCTACATCAGAATTATAGCTACCTTTAGATATCCTTAGATATCCTGACCTCATACATCCTTAAAACGCAGTTGCATCCTTTTGGAGAGATCGTCTCAATTGACTGACTAGAAATGGTTTTTTTCAGGATGGAGTGTACTATTGAACTACGCTTCATGAAGCTGTGACGAATGATCTCCAGAATCAGTTAATTGAATCCAGCTTTTCCATTCTCACGACCACTATCTACTCTGAAGTGTTGTGAGCCACCGTCTTCAATATCTTGCTTTCTCTACCTCTTGACCAACTGTTATTGATAAATAAAGGCCATGGGTAGCTACTTTGCCTTTTATACGGGTTTCATCATTGGTGATCTCGACTGAGCTATCTCTTTGTCCTCCTTTAGACCTAAGCGGTCAATGTGTGATGTTCCGTGCGTGACCAACAGGTGTGCAGTCTAGTGATGCACGTAGGATTTGTTTACTAATGTCACCGGTTGTCCATCTTCCACGTGCAAACTTCCGTTTTTGACTCCGGTGTGCGTATTTCTTCTCGTCCTTTTGTCCAGTCTCCACGCCAAGTTGCTTCTGGTCGTGCCCGATTTTGCCACCCATGTGTTCGTCACAATTGGACTTGATTTCAACAACTGTTTTATGCGGTATCCCATTCTCTTTCACGCACACAAACACCGGCATACACACGTCCATAAGTTGCCCCAGTATAGATGTCTCTTGCTTACGGATGAGTGTATGGGGCTCTTCTCTGGTCAAATGTGCGTGCACGTGTTGGTCAGAGCATCATGTCCCACAGAACACGAACACCTTGTGCGCGTACGCACCTGATTCACAGCAAATCATCACAACACAACCGTTACTGGCACACACAACCCTGAATTAGGGTTGTGTATCTTTCCTCCGTCATACACTCCCATCGCACATTGCACATAGATGCGTATAAGTGGTACTCGTACTGGCGTCCGTCGTTCAATCGATTCGTCTTACCTGCTAGTTTTCGTATGGTGGTCGTGTTCATGTAAGCGTGGACGGCGAACACCGATGGGTAGGCCCATGGGCCATCGACCCTGTCGTGACCGTCGCCTGACCGCTATGAGTGATATGTCCCTCGACCGTGTGTGAACCCGCAGTCCTTTTTCACCCGAATTATCTCTGTTGTAGTATCTGATCCCGTCAGCCATGCCTTGAGCTTCACCACTTCCCTGATCAATGGTAACCTAAGTCCAAGTTCACTTGTTTGTTTGATTTCTTCCAGTACGCGGACCCGGTTTGTGACTTCATCGATGAGTCATCACATTTTCGGCATCGATTGTTTCGGGAGGCTTGTGTCTACCACCAGAACAATTTGATCAAGGACCTCAGTCGTCTCGGTCGAGATGTGGACCAGGTTTGCATAGTGGACAATTCAGCCGTCTCGTTCCTCTTTCAGCCGAATAATGCTGTAAGTTCACATACTCCTAAGCCTTTCATTCCTGTACTGATATTGAAGGTCAGTTTTCCGCAAGTAATATCTCAGAAAACACCCTCGTTCAGGTTTCAAAAGCTGCTGAAGTTTCGACTCTGTCATACACGTCGTTGTGAAGGAAAAGCAGAACAATGATAAATCGCAAGAAACCAGTCCGTATTTGAGATTACTTTTGACCCGTATTTTTACACCCTCGTCCTTCTCCGCACCATTTCAAATTTACACCTGCATCGCGTGTCCTGGTTGGTGTACGACGCATTAACCGGTCGATAAACCTTATGATGACGCGCCGCACGTGACATTCCCTGTCCTTTTGTCATAGTCACAGTTCTTTTGTCGTCGTTAGAACCATCTTTCGGGGCAATAGCCCCCACCTCGTGCTTCGCTTGGCTGTCTCCTTTTGTTGTTACCGGTCTTCCTAAGGAAGTGCGTGAACCGTGAGACGGGTAGAGAATCAAGGGTACCGTGGGAAATTTCTGTTCCAGGTGCCATTTGTATTCAGTCTGTTTCCGCCACATAGTTGACAGGATCACCTTTGCTGCTGTCCAGTCAGCCAATCCGAACTCTGGTCTGAACGTTTGATGATGTTGAAATCCTGAATCATAGCGGTCATTGCGTCCATTGCGTTGGGTCACGTGACACCACGTGCAGTATACCACGTGGTTTAGAATAATGTTTCTAATGCTTGCTTTTGCACTTACAGTGCAATGCCCTCTCGAAAAGAATCTCCCCCTTTTTTCGGGAGGTGTACTAGTGGTAATCGGTTCGCCGTCGTGCATCATATTCGTTTTCTTCCCTTCAGACACGATGTACTGACCTTCCAACACGGAAGGATCACTTGAGTTCGCACCTCATGTGATTGTATCCATTCCTAGTTCCGACCTATTGCTGGTAGACCAAATAGCATGGTGCCAACATGACCGAATAACAAATCAGGTCCTTTCTTATTAGAATCCCTTCCTTATTCTTTGTGTTCGTTGCACAATTCAAGGCTACCACAATCGAAATATGTACCTTTCCGCTACTATCGACCACCTGATTAACTCCTTTCGTTAGCCGGTGTAAACATGTTTCCATGAACAGCCAATTTAGAGTCGTATCCACCCGATACATTGCGTGATCATCCGCCCTTGGAGATATTAACCCCACTGCTGATATGTGCTCATGAATGTGCCAGTTACCACTGACGCGTTGCCTTTGTAACCTTTTTGACCTCAGATTTCTTTCAACCTTCGTGCACCTATCTTCTACCACCAAGAACGCCCACACAATCTAAGCAGTCTGTTCAGAAGGGATAGCATCCCACAATCCGCAAAGGCCTCCTGAAAAACTGTTCAAAATATAAGGTCAGGTCAATGGAGTCTGTGGGTTTGTAGGATGAGTGGTGCTCTATCGTACAAGCTGTTCACAGTGCTGATCAGCCATCCGTAACTAAATAGTTAAGCGCTCACCAAGAACCCGTGTTTTCCACGTTGAATTTTTTTTTCGGTTTTACACTGTAATTGAGCTAATTCTGCGCTTCCGTATGTTTGTTATTTTTGGCTGAGACATGATTCACTGCACTTTGTGCGGCGCTTCTTATTGTCCAACTGAACCAATAGTTGACAAGACAGCTTTTAAATTCCACTTCAAACTCATTTGATCTAAAGTCTGTTGGAATGGCGATTAGCTTGGTTCTGATCTCGCCCCACAAACAGTTCGGTGCGCGATGCTGATGAGTGGCAGCAACGATAAATCAGCTACACAGTGTCTGTAGACCTTTTAGCATAGGTTGATTCTGCCTTTCGGAAAACACGGCTCGCTCCCATTGGTAGTTCTCCTTTAAACGGAACAAAGCATAAAGGTCCCTATGTGACTGCAACATAGCCACCCGTTTTCCACGTCTTGATGTGCTACACTCCTGGTTTAATGCCTGTCTGCATCGTTCAACATGACTGCACATTGTGGATCTGTTGCAACCTAAACTCAGTTCTTCTCGTTGGTGGTTTGAGTTTCTTGGCCGATAGTCCCTATCTCCAACCATGTCTCAAATCAATGCCTATATTCGTAGTCAGTTGTTAGCTGTCCAATACTGTGGGTGAATGAATCAGGTGCACTCACCATGAATTGTGTTACTTACTCTAACAGTATTGAAAAGACCCTGGATAGTGTCTTAATCTTGTGGTTCTGTTTAAGTTGATGCTTCACTGATGCACCAACACATCTGCATACCAGTTTGATTTTGACAGGAGACTCACCTGGAAGCCATCTGAATCTCTTGTTTATGATATTCTTAACCAACTGAATGTGCTGCACTAGGCCGCCTCACGATACGATATTCGGTACACGTATAGACACGCTACACTACTCATAAGGTTTTTGGAAACTCTTCGACAGCCCATGACCGGTTTCGCCCTTCTTGGGGCTCATCAGGTAGGCCGATCCCCGGGTCTCCATCAACCTTATGTTCTACTAGAACCCAAATTGCTTAAGACTATCAGAAACGAGAGATTCAGTTGGTTTCCAGGTGAGTCTCCCGTCACAATCACATTGGTAAGCAGTTGAGTATTTAGTTCAACGTTCGGGCAATTTAGGTTCAAGTAGAACATAGGGTTGATGGGGACTCGGGGGCTGCGCGTACTAGATGAGCCAGCCCCAAGAAGAGCGAGACCGGTTGTGGGTAGTGTATTATGTCTGTACACTAGTACAGATTGACATTCTAGGTGAGTGGGGTTTGAGGATTTTTTATCTCCATTTTTATAGACCATGTGTTCCTGATCGCTGAAAGGAAACGGATAAACTTAGCGGAAAGCGTACAACGGCCAGAATGACGGTTGACGGTTCTCACGTGAATTCATGGTGTTAGTGCAGCTATCAGGCTGTGAACGACCGTAGTCTGTGTTAATTATTTTCGATTGTGCTGAGCCCAGTCTTGAACGAGCCCAAGCGATGTTGGTAGAGTTGGCGTACCACAGTAGAAAGAATTTCCATATGGCCAACTCATCCCAAAAACAAACACCGATCTCCGTAAGCTAACTAAAATGTTTGTGCGACGCAACTCTAGGATGCACGATGCAATCTCGCGATTCTTCTAGGAGTAGTCCCCAAACGAATCACGACTGTAACTTAGCGCCCAATAATCAGGCTGATTCGAGTGGATCATCTAACAGTCGCCGGTTGCTGCGGTTTCCACCATTCAATTGATTTGGCATTATTGAGTTTTGAGGGACGAATAACAGTTTGCCAATCGATCGGCATTAAGCACAATTGGAGTCGGTTTCTTTGCAGTTCAGTGGGTTTGCGCATACATGTTAATCATGACGGTGACCATGGGAAGAAGTCCCTTGTTTTTTTGCTTCAGGATGTTTGATACCACTTTATTTTACAAACCTTACCGCTGCTTAACTGTCGTACAGTGATATCATTTGATATATGTATAGAAAACCAATAAAAAGAAGGGGAACAAGCTGGTGATGGCTTACCACAAACATTCCAGCTGCCCACATCTCCACACGCCAATTCTGACAACCTGAATGAAAAGTAACGGCGGTCCGCAGTCATATATTGCAGCTTAACCATTGTAGCTCCGGAACGAGCAAATCTACAACACTCCGTATGGCACTGCCAGCATCTGGAGTTCTCGTAATGCTTTTTTATTCCATTTGGGTAGGTCACATCCTACAAGTCTGTTGGTTTGTAGTAGCCTATAAACAGCGATCTCGATAAATATCAGATCGGCACATGTAGAGCCTGACAAGCTATTCGTGGCCTGCAGTGCTAGGTGCGTTCGTCCTACTATCTTCCCAAACACCAATTATATGATCGCTGCATTGCGAATCCGTTGATGTCTGCGGTAAATCTGAAGGTGCCATGTGTCCTTTGTCCATAGGAGCCTCGAACGTTTTGCGGGACCCGATCTCAACTTTACTGTCGATCGCCGTCTTAAGCACTTTTTATTGATTTCGGAAAAACATACTGCGTACGCATATCGGACCAGCTTTTTCACTGTTGTTTTGCTCGTTGCACAAAAATTCACTTCCGTTGACACTATCCGGTAGCGATTAAACCGGTCTACATAACTCACATCCGAGTAGCCATTGTGAAAAAAAAACATTTTTACATTCGGGTTTCAAGTTCGCATATCTGTTGAACTGTGTTCGATCCAATAAATTGCTGATAAACAGAGAATTACATGCACTACAGACTTATTCTAAGCAGTAGACGGTCAACACGGATTCACTCGTTCGTCTTCGATGTTTTCTACATCCACTCCAAGACTGATGCCTTGGGGTGCACAAAAGATGTCTCCTGGGTTGGTTACAAGCTCGGTGAACAAACGAACAGCCAGTGGAAGGTCAGCTGTAACCAGGTAGTATTACACGTACCATGTTGTCACTTGCGCAGCTCCATACCTTTATGCTCTCCGCTGCTGACCAAGTCGTATCTGCATGTTTCTGTTCTGTGTCTCGCTGAGAGTTTGATGAATTGTGAAATGAACAATGAATTTTCTCCTCAACTGAGCGTCACAAGGTCACTTTCTGTGTATTCTATGTATGGAACGTGCTCTGATTCGTGGTCCCATCTTGTCACCCTCCTGCCATCTGTCTGCAATAAACCGGGCTCCAACCTTTCACAGGATCTTGTCCTATTTGCTTCTGAGCGTAAAAGCGGGAGCTCGTAGGGGGCTATAGGTTGTACTAGTTGCCTTTTGTTTTGTCATCATTTAGCAAAACTGTTACATTTCTAAGAAACCGTTCACCTGTAACTCCCTTTCGGTGCCTAGCTGCCGTGCCACCCGAGGGAAGCATGTGATGCTGTCCTTTTGTCGAAGTTGAGACGGGCGCAGTCGAGATGCAGAGGTTGGATTTGAACCACGGATCTTCTGGCGGCAAGTTCGTGCCGTAGTCACTGAGCTATCTCGAGATCTTGGTAACTGATCCAAACCTTGGTTCGAGATCCGTAGGATTATTGAATTTTTTGTTCAAGTGCGTTACACGTGCCAACGCACGGCTGCTGATCGACGTTCGAGATTACCATTCTCAGGTCATAATAAATGTCCGCTGGTGGAGCTGAGCATTCTTCACAACGGTTGATTTGTTATGTTGATTCTGACAATGTGTATGGAGCACTAAACAGCCACATCTAGTCTGAAGATAACTTCATACTTCGTACTACACTGTTGCTAATATTCTACCTTTCCTTCAGATCCTTATCGTTTGTTCGGTCATTTTTTCAGCTCCATATTGTCTCTTGGTTCGACGACCCAAATGATCAAGCCCTGCTCGGACTTATTCCCTATTTGAGGGGTCTGGCTAAGTCGGACACGGTAGTGGACTATTTGCGTCAATTCCAACCACCTCCATCCGCCGTAGTTGCCCATCCACCAACTCCATCTTGTTTGTTGTTATTCAATACCGCATACTCGAATGACTCGGAGGACAACGAGGGCTCGGATCATCTGGATGAGATCGGTTATGAGTATTCAGACGAGGAAGCTGTTTTGTCACCACATTTCCATCCACCGTTGCCCGCATCTTCCACAGCCTTGCTGCGCACATACCTTACCCAGCTGGACGCGCATTCCAACACGACTGTCCACCCGTCCTCTATGCAGCAATATCCCCGAGGAAACTTTCCGTCTTCCGCAACAGCCAGCTCTATTGCGGCGACAACCACCAGTTTTATCCACCAAATGGCCAGGCCTGATCCCCATTATACTACTACTGGAAGCTCAGTGAGTCCGCTCAGTGTACCCGTGGAAGTAGTACAAGACTCCAGTTCTACCGGCTTGGGTGTTTGATTAGGGCTGAGCACCAGAACACTACGGTCTGGACGTCCCCGGACCTGGGGATTTCACAACATACTGTTCCCCGTGTTCTCTGTTGGCGGGTGGTCAACTGGTCACGCAATTGTCTCACCCCGAACGACAAGGGGACTAGCGCATTCCAGCCAATCAACATTCTTCCAGAAACCGTCACTTGCATCCTAACTGTGGAATATGGGTTTTGCATCGTATCCGTCCATACCACAGCGGGACACGTCAACTATCCTGCTACTCAACCGCTAGGTGAACGCATCTGACAGCTGGGCAGTCTCATCACTAACCTTACTATGGCTGTGCAAATTTCCTAGCTCTATCATTTTCAATAACATTTCATTTACGTTGGTGATATCCCCTGTGGATTCTTTCTTATTAATTTTCGAGGTTGTGTGAGTCTTTCCCCCTCCCACTCCCTGTTCCCTTTTTCTTACTGACCCACTCGTTGGCTTTCAAATGTGTTCATCTCCTGATTAGCTCTTTTTTGGTATGATAGACTGGGCGTACTCCAGGTCAAACTTCGAGGATTGCAACAAGTTTTCTGTCGCTTGATCTAAGATTCTGCACCCCCCCCCCCCTGTACCCTTTACACGCTCGATGTTCTCATCTGGTGGATTTGTTGGATGCCGACTGTGTGAAGCCTAATGGAGAAAATGCCCAGTCAGAGTTTCACATGTGCAAAGTTATCTCTGCCTTTGCCGCTGTGTACACACTAACAGGTCGTTTTCAACAGCTGCTCAACATTGTTTACTCTGCAGTGTGATCCGATCATCTCCACCTCGGTTTTCCTGTCTCTATGTCGTACGTTTATCTCTGAGCCACGTTGTAAAGTTGTTTCCACGTATTCCATTCTTGCAGGTATCATTCAAGTACCGTGTATCCCATCCACGGATTCTTCTTGTCAGTAGCGTGTTGCACATCAGAGGTACTTTTGTTTTAATAGACTTGGTGATGCCTTTTCTATGCCCATTGCTCACACACAGCTCTCGCTGATAATCTTGTGATTCCTTCGTGAGTTTTAGACTATTTCTGCGCGCATGAACCACTTACGTCTTCCGGGATGCGCCCCGTAGGCACCATTATATCTCACTCTGTCCTCAAACAGTCCTATTTTTTCGTCCCATCCCTGAAAAAGCGCCTTCATCCTACTTGTCTGATATGTTCGCAGCCCTATAACAATTTTCCGGTGCCAATTGGTTTGTTATTACTGGTGCCCCTGTCCACTTGTTTGCGATATGATTTCGCCGACCCACCTCCGGCGTCGCTGGATGTTCCAAAAACATGTTGCGTTGTTTCTCTTCCTTCCCCTAAATGACAGCCTTATCGCCTTACTCAAACATACTGCCTCGTAGCCTTGTTGCAAACCAGGGACTTCTCTCCTCTCGGTTAGTCTTTCACTCCGTGCCAAGAGTTTATATCCTCACTCTCTTCCACTGATCGTTTTGTCAACAGTTGCTGTTAGCTCTTCCTAGGTTACCACAGAGGTGCGTGGATTCCTTGTAGATTACCGATAATAATACTAATAATAACGATAATTCACCGGCAGAGATTCTTTTTGGAAGATTGCGCGGTTTCTCTTTTCTGGCTCTGTGACAGCTGCGAAACTCCCCAACTTGCCTCACATACCCCCGTTCTGCTCCCCCAATCTGCTGTGAACCAAGCACCCGACCACACTTTGGCCTGTCAGACTCACTGTAGTATCTGCTCCACACACCCATCCCGAAATTGTGAATAGTGTTTGATCCTGTTCTCCCCGACCGCGTTATTCCTTGGATCCAAGCCTCAGAGCAGGGCTCAAACTGGTGTGTCCGGTTGCCATCTTGGATGAGTTCGGCAGTTTCAGTGCTCAGTGTGTCTTTGTCCTGTCCGTTGATTATTCTCTTTCAAACCGTCCATACATATATTCTTGCTATTTGCTCACCTACTACTACCATGGTTTCGACCGAACCGCTCAAATTGATACATAGCCGTTTGTGCTTTATTCGTGCTCACTCGATGTCTTCTTTTTTATGAACTGGGTATGGGTTGTGTCCGTTACTGTGATGCCCGAAAAATAAATCAAGAAGTCAGTCCAGAGAGATCTCATTTCACCAAAACAAACTCAGGTTTTTATCAGCAACATTCACCGCACATTGGATTCAGCTGTGTCGACTCGTGATTGATGCGTTATATGACTGGCTGTGAGGCACCTGGCGTTGGTCGGATCCTTCTTTTGCGTTCTTCCATAGCTAATTGGGTGGTCGTAGCCCGAACTTCCCTCCGGTGAAAATCTCGGTTGGAAAGAGGATGGTTGTTCAATTCCCTATAAGTGTTGACCAATCGTGCTGTCATCTAGCAGAGCACTCGTCTCATCTTGAGGTTGTGTGGCTGGTGACCTCACACCTGCAACGTTGGCATTCACCTCATAACCACTAGATTCCACTTATAACCTTTACGTCTTCACACAAACTGAGGGAAACAAAACATCTTAAATGCTTTAATGTAAATTATTGAGACTTCAACGGGAAACTCGATCCATTTGAAGCTAAAGGGTTTGTTGACACGAAGAAGAAGAGTGAGCTGGCGCCAAACCGACCAGCTTCTTTACACTTGGAGTGGCCAACAGCTGGCATAGGATGCCGGCGTAGGTGTTCTGAGCCACCACTGTAGAAGAGTTTTAACGCTATTTGGCCTCCGTCTGGAGTGCTGATGCCTCTGACCTCTGAAAGGCAGAACTCCCTGGGGCTTGTGAGCTTGACTGTTTTTCCACTTGCTCTGCATTTCTAATGGTAGGTTTTCGTGTTTCTATCGCTTTACAAATGCTAGCATTGAGCTTACCCCCCCCCCTTGTAGTTTTAGTCACAAAAAGACGGATACCTGGATGTTGGGCAGCAGAAGATCGCTGTTCCCGTGCATAATTTGAGACGTCCTTGCATTACTGTTCACCTGCTTCGAGCAGCATTGGATCGAATGGTTTCCTCACTGATCATCGCAGCCGTGTGAGATCACCGGAACTCATAAGTACAAGTGTATGGACACTTATTTCGCATTTGATTTCCTTTTCCTTCTAACCAATCTGCGACAGAGGGAGGCGGGACACCAATGAGGTCACTTTATCGACACAATCAATAACTGCTGCTGGATCGCGCGACGGCTCACGAATTCGGCCAGTGGTGATCTAGGATCACAGTTGCAGTGTCGCGACCACAGTTGGATCCCCTCGATCTGATTTGCTCCCGAAATACTACTAGCAATAAAACGGTTAATTCGAGTTTAAACAAATGGCACGCGAGTTCCCGCTGTTGTTTGAATAGCCAGTGGATATTCTACCACTCCATTTGCTTGATCGAAAATTCTAGTGGACACTTCCCCCACCGACCTCTGATTGCACTGTCAGGATAATCGCAAGCTGTGTGACAATCCTACGCAAGGTTCGCTGATGGCCGTAAGTTGGAAAGGAACGGGAGAAAATATGACCTTAATGCCGTTCCACGTATGATACGAAGAAAGTCGTGTCCTTTCCGGAATTCCGTCCACCTCGGGTGGATATACCGAAATTCAAATTCATTCGTAAATTCCTGTGCGCTAGCCATCAAAAGTATAAATCCCCGGCTATGAATTTTGAAACTCCGAAACACCTAAATTTTTGTGCAACTTAATGGTGATATTAAACCTTGATTTTATTGCGATCGATCGATTAGGTTACAGACCAGAACCAAATTAGTTTGCAAATGAGTGTATATTCGCTAGGACTGGTGTTTCATTCAAAGTTGGCTCGACTTTGCGGAAAACGTTACTAATGTCCCGCCAACTAGGTATCACTAAGTGTTTATGTAGAATTTGAATTGCGTCCTTTCAACATCCTGCTTTGGAGCCGGTAAGACGAACTGCGGTTGGCCTTAGTCCTCTACATTCGTCGGGTTCCATTGTTGATATGTACTATTTGTCAACACTGGCATATGTGCCTTGGTCAAATTACCTTGGAAAACCTGGTATGACTTGTGTGTCCATACTGTCTGTACAACAATAAAAGGTTGCGATATAGTGCAAAATTACAATCACTCAACCAGTACTGCCGGCGAAATCTTATATGGTAAGCGAACAGGTTCATTACAGGTAACTTCCGGGGTGGAGAGGGTACTAGTCATACGTTTAGGGACGCCTTATTTGTCGACTGTCGTCAAGCTGTCCCTATCTTTGCTGGGCCCCTATTCAGTCCTTCGAAAGTGCATGTGGACTACACCCGTTTTTGCCACTTCGCACTGCTTCGTTGTGGATGCAGTGCATTCGTTCGACCCCATAGTGCCTCATTAATGAGGGTACACTCAGATAAGCCAGCAGTCGTATGGTTGTCCATCTTGGATCAGGTTGTGAGCTTTATAACTTACTGTTCTGTGTGCGTCTCTCCGAAGGTCAATGAGGCCTTCTGGTTGATGCTACCGGCGTGTAGGTCGTTTTGAGACCCGTCAAAAACGGATTTTCATGGGGTCGGAATATCGGGATTTCCTGGAGCATCAAAGGCAATCCTCTTGACTCTAACCGTGCACCGACAGAATGCTGTCCTGATTCTCTCTCAATTCCGACGTATTTGTTCGATCGCAGCTCATTCAATTCAAATTTATCTCCACCTCATGTTCGGAAATTTGCAGTCCGTCAGAGGGTCATTGTATCCAGAACCAAAACCCTATAGATGAATGACAGTCGAGTAATTTGGAAAGTTGGAAGCCAAACAAACAGCGACTCGTCTATTTAGACCGCAAAAGGAGCATGTGAAAACATGCGTTTGCATTCCGTGGATCTCCGTATATATGTATTCCCTTCCGGTTCAGAATTGCACATCATTTGGAGATCTATCAGACATTGAATCTAGTTTATAAACTGTTGCTCCTATCGCGGTACGATTACGCCCAAATAATCCATCTTGAGAGTAGTATATTCTGGTAAATACAAGAATGGGATGCGAAAGTTAGAACAAACGCTATTTTGGTTTGTTCAGGCCAGACGAAGCTTGTGCATGCGTTCATTTGGCGGCCTTAAAAAATCCTCCAGTTGTAGCACCCTTTCGGTGTCTAGCTGCCATGCCATACGAGGGCTGGGATACTGCCAGGTCATCCAGGCCTAGACAGGGGAAGTCGAGTGGCAGAGGTCGGCTCTGAGCAAAATTAAGCTCATTCAAATGAGAAAACGAAGCTAAACTGATAAGCCGGCGTGTTTGTGCTGCCGTGGTCCCTTCTAGCTCTGTCAAGGACCTGTGTGTGTCTATCCTCCTGTCCAGCCGAAGCAGACCCGAACGAGGACAGTCGAACACATCGACAACTCCCGGCAGACTGGTTACTTGCGTCACTCGTCAATCAAACAAACATCACAACTGTATGACCTACATGGTTATCGGTTGTTTGAGTTGCTTTGCTATGTGGATGAAATAAAAAAACACTAGAGTCTGGTGTCCTGCGTTGCCATCATCCCATCCTGTTATCACAGTCCAGAGGTCCAGATAACTTTGTGCGTATTCACATCCAGGATAATTGGAGGCATCTGACCTAGAACACACCACACCTCCGCTCGTCTACATACACGCGGTGTATATGTATTTGATCGGCGCTACTGGAAACCCAAAGCTTATATTTTAGCTCCATATTTTGAATTACTGACTGACTTGTTTAGAATGGGATAAAAGAGCGAAAATGGGCACGATTTATCGACGACTGTCACCTGGATTTATTGACATTCGTTAGACTTTTCATCTGATGTAGATAGTTAAAAATTTTCCATCCCTTATACTGCTTTCAAAGAGAACGAGCGCAAAATTCCAAGCACGACTAAAAGATATTTGGGGTGCCTCGTCTTCCTCCTGGTAGTTGAAGCTTCCGGCTAAGCTGGCTTCACGCAAAACATTGTTGTGGCTGTAGTCATCATATTTGCAATCTCCGTCCTCTCTCTCCCGAATGCACGCTTTCACCTAGGGTGTGGAAGCTTGTCCCGAATGAGGGTTGTTCCTTTATCGGAGGAATTAACCTGAAGTGGCGAACCACACAGTTTGGAAATAAGGGACAATCAAGTAGATATGGTGGTTGTTTGCCGGATTCGTACGGCGCGGATTTTCGCTGATGTATCTCCCAAACCTCGGAAGTGTTCAGTGAACACAAGAGGACGAATTTGGAGACTGAGATTTGCTTTCTATGTTCGACTGATCCCAGCATCTAATGGATAGCAAGTTAGTATTTTGTCATTTCTATCTGTTCTCAAATGAAAGCCAATTTGTTTGTGCGAGTTCCAATCAGTTTAACCATTGTTGTTGCTGCGACATCAGTGCATTAATCCCAACTATCGCCTATAATTTGGCGGGAGGACCAGATTTGGAGTGGTGCTTTTGAAACGCAACATAGTGAGATACCGAGGAGAGTTCGTTAGCAAACTTCCTTTCAGGACCGTGATATCCACGGTTTGACTATAGATTTCATTTCTTCGTCTCTGTTGAACTATGCAATCCCTCATCTTAAAAGGAATGACCTATTGCGCAACTTATGATGACGGTCTGAATGTAGCAAAATCTTCCAAACATGGAATCGATTTTAACTGCCGTGACTGTAAGAACAAGTAACTCCGGAGATTCTGCTGAGAGTGATTTGTGTCTTGACTACCGCCCCCCCCCCCAATGACTCCGTTGCACTAGTTCAACTGCGAGATTGGACGAATTAGTGTCTGAAGGGTATCTGAGGGGTGGGACTGGAAAACCTGGAATGCTGTGTGGCAACTCAAATCCTCACATACGGGGCATTCTCTTCGAACAGAACGGTCCTGTGCTGTAAGCGGATAAACGGGACAAGCAGAGTTATTGCGGCCCGGTGCAGTATATTCAGCTACTTAAAAACATCATAAGCGAAAGATTCAGCTCGGTTCTAGGTGATACGTTCACTTCGCTAAGTTGGCTTGTTCTCAATAATTGATCATCGATTAGAGAATGTGTTCCAACTGTATTCACTGATTCACTCTCTTCTTACTGTCCAATTAC